GGTTAGAAAGTAGTGGGGGGTGGTAGGGGGAGGTGGCATCACCTTCTTGAGGACAGAAGTCAAGTGTCTGTTCCCCAGACCTCCTGCAGAAGTTTTCCTGCCCTGCCAGCCATAATCTGGCCTCCAGGGCCTGTCTGACGCACTGACGCTCCTGGTTTGCAGAGCCTAGCAGTGCCCAAGCCTTTCTTTGGCATTTCATTCTCTCGTCACTCACTGGTCATACGCTGCTGCACTGCTCCAAGGTAAGGTCGGAGACTGATCATATCTCTGCTCTACTGCGACTTTGTTAGAGGCACTTTCCCTGACCGTCCTGGCTACTGTAGCTCCATCGCTTCCTATTTCCTAATCTGCTTTACTGTTCTTTAGAAGATACATCACCACTGGACATAGATTTCTATCTTTCTTTATGTGTCCATTGCTTCCACTGGAGTGTAAAAATTCTCAGAGAGTTTAAATCCCTGTTCTATCCTCAATACATAAAGCAGATCCTTGGAACATAATAGACACACCATACATATTTGTTGAATTAATGAAATAGACATTATGGTAAATCCAGACATGTGATCTAATTTTCCAACCAATCAATCCCCACAAGCCTTATCCCAAAAGAGAAATTCAACTAATGTGTATCCAGCTAAGGTAGCAGACTTTATTTAATCCTTACTGTGAATTGTGGCAAAGAGGTGCTTTGGCCCCATTTTACAGATGAAGAAACTGAGACTCAAGGAGTGAAGTGCCTTTGCTGTAATAAGGCACACAGCAGCTAAATAGTAGAGCTGAGAATAAACCCAGGTTTTCTGACTCTAAGTTGGCTGTTCATTTCCTCATTTCCCAATTTCATTCACAATGTCTGCATCTTTTCTGTTTCCCCATCTTTAATAGTGCCACACGCATTGAGTCAAGTTTCCATAGACGAAACTCAGTTGGATTAAACTGAAACCTGCCTAGAACTAAGATGCAGTTTTTTGAAACCAGGTCATTTCTTAGAGAAGCAACCAGTACCACGTGCTTTTCAACACTGATAATATCACTGTGGGGAGCAGGGGTGGGGTAGGGTGTTGTTTAATATTGCAAGTTAACTTATCTGTGGCAAAAAAAAAAAAAAAGAAGACTAACATGACTCCCACAAACTTTGGTGCTCCCAATGTGATGCTCAGAGCCTTCCCAGGAGACATTCTTGGAAAAGAGAAGAGAACATAATACAGAAGGACTTATCATAACAAGGGCAACAAGAGTCAGATTTTATAATCAGAAGGAGTTCTGCAAATTACGAACAAAATAAAGAGCTTCTGTGAAGAAATACAGACTTTCCTGGCTTCCTCGAACAAATACCTTCTGAGTGCTGAGACCCACAGGTATTTTGAAATATAGACATGCCTTATATTTGGGGAAGAAATATGCAGGTGCATAAAATCACATCCCAGAGTCACTCAAAGCTGAGTTTTTTCCAGGCTGTTCAAACTGGGAATGCACATTGTGGAGTTGTGTCTATAAATTAGATTCAGTCTATAGCATCTTCAGACCTCTCAGTATAGAAATAGATTTAGTGGTCATATAGGTAAGAATTCTTGCAAGAGCATATGAGCATAAAATTTTAGGAATAGAGAGGGTTGGAAAGATACTATAGTAGAGATAATTTAGTCCCACCGTTCCATTTTTACAAAGATTATGAGGCTCAAACAGCTGGATTGTGTATGGATTGTGCATTCTTACAGTGAGACCAGAAGTCAGTCAGCCTCCCTCTCAGTCCACTGTCCTCTCCAAGCTCAGTGTTTGAACCATTGTGGGAGCTGGGTCTCGGAATCCCAAGATCCAAAGGTCACACATGGATAAGAAACTGTGGCTTTCACACAATTTAAATACCAAAGTATGCACTAAAGACTCAACCCTTCAGAACTTTGGGGACTGAAAATAACTTGAAAAGCCACTGCTCTGTGGGTGACTCTGCATAGCCAGGTAACCTGGGTGAGAGACAAGTGTGCTCCTACGAAAGGTGTGCAGGGGCCCGCAGGCTCCCAGGACCCACACGAAAAGAGAGGACCTTTACTCTGATCCTTGGCAGGAAGTGCCAGGTTTCTGGTTTTAGCCTGTTCTCACTGCCTGCCATGCCAATCCCTGTGTGTGTATCTGAAGATGTTAGCACATCCTGGGTACACAGACCACAGCTTCCTCCCTGTGCTTAGGGCCTGTGCTTAAAGGTCTAACCAGTGTGGAGATATTGCTTCACTTCTCCTTGGGGTGTCCTGATCAAGACCCCGGAGCCATCTCGCCACCCTTCCAGATCAGAGAGTGGCCTTTGGGGTAAGTGGTAAGTGTCTTGATGGGGGGGAGGGGGGCAGTTTTCTAGAGGGGAGCATTTCATTACTAAACCCAGGGATACAGAGACACTTGCGTGTACACATACCAACAGGAAATCAGCATAAAATGGCCCAGTGACCCCCACTCCAGGGTCTCTACAGGAATCCTCTCTCACCCATTCCCTTCGTTCGCCTACTCACTTCATGTTTGAGGAACCCAGACTCTTACAGGCTCCCTTTAACCCATTTCAATCAGCAGTCTCATCTCCAGATTTTCAAGTTCCTTCAGTTGGTGCCTTTTACCTAACTCAGCATATTTCAAACTTGCAGAAAAAAAAAAAAAAAAAAAAAAAACTTAGGAAATAACCTCGACCCCACCCAGATGATAAAAATCTCTTGAATTCTCTAAGCCCAACATCTTAGCCTCCTCTCACTCAGCCCTGAGAAGGGAGTTGATTCCTTTGGGTTCTGGGGAATGGCGGGCTCTGCCAGTCCCCACCTCACCAGCCTAATAGTTTTTCCAGACAAACTCCTGCTTGGTGTTAGGCAGCAGCCTCGCAGCAGCTATCTCCGGGTCCCATTCATTCCCGTAGGTCCTCTAAGGCCAGTCACGTTAGGGGGTGTCCCTCCTCTCTGTTCCTGGCCCCACTTCCTCCTTTCAGAGGGAGCAAGCAGTCAACGCTTCTGAGTCTGACACGGGACCCAGACCCTCACCCGTCCCTTTGGGCTGCACTTTCCAACCTAGACTCCTGCGTGGCGGCGAAGGTAGGGGTGGGATTGGCCAGGCAGGCGCTGGGGCCGCGGCTCTGAAGGGCACGGGACCCTCTTTGAACAGGCAGCTCCGGGAGTCCTTCCCCTGGAGCAGGCGCAAGCCTGGGCGCGGAGAGCCAGGGCGCGGGGCAGCTGCGCGGACCGAGGCTGGGGGAGGAGGTTCCCCGCCGGAGAAGCGGTGAGGCCGGCCGCTAGTCCCGGGGAGCCGGCGACTCCGGAGCGCCGAGAACACGGCCACGCAAGGACGGAGGGAGGGGAAACCAGCCTGCGCTGACATGTAAACAGGGGCTTCCATCTGGAAGAACCCGCTCCGACAGAGCCGCAGACACACTCGCTTGCACCCCATCCGCCTGCAACGAATCCACTTACCCGCCCCAGGGCCCCCCGGGCAGGGACCCGAGCCGGCGGCTACTGCAGCCTCCGCCCCCGCCGCTTTCGGCCTCTGGCGAACGGAAGCCGGCCTCCAGGCGAGTGCCCAGCGGCGGCAGTGTGGACCCGAACGTCTCCCGCCCTTGACTCCAATCCGCGCCCGGGGTCCCCAGGTTTCAAGCCGCCCCCTCCCGCAGCGTGGTCCGCAGCGTGGCGGGAGGGGGCCGGGCTCCACTCTGGGGCGGGGGAGAGGAGGAGATCGCCCCTGGTGGGGAGCCCGGCCGGCTGTCCCGCGAGCGGGACTCGCCACCCGACTGCCTGCCGGAGGAGACGGCGCGAAGCCGGGGCGCGGAAGGAAGGCAGAGCGGCCACGTCTTCCGGGACCCCGGCGCCCCGCGCCCTGCCCGCCCCGCCGCCCGGTGACCACTGCCCCGCTGCTTACCTTAATAGTGCCGTCCATTGGGCCAAGTCTGCAGCCGAGCCCCCCAATATTCCACACATTGACCCGGTTACAGCCTGACCTCGCAGCCCCTTCGGATTAGCCCGGCGCGGCCTCCCTGGCGCCCGGGGCCCTCCCTGCGTGCCCCCTGCGAGCGCCCTGCCCTCGCTCCCCTGTGCACGTTTGTTGTTGTAGCGGAGCGAAAAAGAGACAGTTAACCGGATGAAACTTTTTTTCAGCTAATTTTGGGAAGTGACTTCACTTTGCAAATCGGGGAGGAAGTCCTATCTCTCTCTCTCTCTCTCTCTCTCTCCTCTCGCTCTCTCTCTCTGCTCTCCCCTCTGCTCTCCCTGGTCCTCCCTCCCCCCACACCCCCTCGCTCTCCCTCCGCTCGGCTGCTCCTGCTTTTCGCATCACACGCTACATAAATATACGCGGAGATGCCCTGATACATTCATGCGCTGCGCACACAGGATACTTGCTCCTGGGAGATAAGAGCCAGCCGGGAACAATGACGGGGTCCACGCCCAGCGTCCCAGCCCCGATTCCCGCAGTCTGCAACCTCTTCCCCCGCTCCCCACATCACCTTCCCCCCAAATCCAAAGCCAAAGCCTTTGGCCGCTTTCCTCTTCCCGAGGCCGTTGGCCGAAGGTGGCCCTCCTGACTCATTCACTTTCCGTTTCTTCCCACAGATAACGTTCATGAATGCTTTTTCCAGCCGGAGTCCAATGTGGGGGGCTCGGGGGCCGGCGGGAGCGCTTACTGGGGCTGGGGATAACCTGGCGCCTACTGTCGGGGAAGATCCGGACACAGACCGAGGCAAACAAACCATTAAGAAGCGCATCCAATGGGGTTTTTCCACGAGGTCCCTCGGCTGCGGAGTCGCGGCGGACTCCCGGAGCGGCTCGTTCACGCACCCGCGCCATGGCGGGCGCGGACCCCACTCCCGGCGCATTGTTAGCAGAGGGACGACCTCCGGCCGGCGGCGCGCCTCGACCCGCAGCTCCTGGAGCCCGCAGAGGGCGGGGACCGGCGGCGCCCTAGGCCACCTACCCGCATCTTATTGGGTCAGACCCCTACTGCTGACCCGGGCCCGACGGCACCCGGGCCGGGGTCGCCTTTCCAATCCCACCCGGCCCCCAAGGAACTGACACTACGGCGGGACGTTCCCTCCACGCTGGTCAGCAGGTCCCTGGGGCGCAGCACGCAACGGCGCGGCACAGACCCAGACTTCTCCCCGGGTGAAACCCGGGGGCCCGCGCTCCGGACCGTCTTCCCCACCGGCCGCGAGGCCAGCCTCCCTTCGGTCCACCTCGCTGGTCCGGCCCACCCGGAGATCTCCGGTCCCCCCGCTGGGCCGCCGCGCGATCCAGATGGGGAAGCTCCAGGAGCCCGCGAGCTCTCGGCCTGACTCCCTTCTCCCCGACCTCCAAAACAGGTTACCTTGTTCACGCTCTCCAGAACACGCTTTGGACTTTCTCACTTTTATTTAAGAGTCCGCCCCGGAGAAAGAGGGAAAAAAAATCCAGAGGAGATCCAAGTCAATTGGAAAGAAAAAAAAAAAAAAAATTCAAAAAGGTGTCCACAGCGGCGAAAAAAGGTGACTTATTAATTCTTTATTTCTTCGGGAGCAATTGAGCCCAGAGCTCGCTTGCCTCCCTCCCTCCCCTCCCCCCTCCCCCTCTCGAAATTAGTCTCATCAATTCAGTCCAATTTTGGGTTCGAATACAGACACGGGTCTGAACGTGACCAGACCTGGAGTGGCGGGTGCAGTCTGCCAGCAATTGAGACTTGGTGTGCGTGTGGGGGGTGGGCTGGGGTGGATGCTGGGATGGGGGCCGGGCCGACCACCCCCCCTCCTGTCTGCTTCTCAATCCAGGGGTCTGCTCGGGGGCTCCCCTGGGACCTCCACATCTGGTTACCGCTAGCGGGGTCAGTACCCCCCTTTGCCTGGGGCCACCAGTTCTGGAGTTCAATTAAAAGAAATCAGGCTTAACCCTTTCCTTCCCTCGGCCCAGCTGCCCGTCCTCTCGCTCTTCCCTTCAGCGTTTCCACATGCTTTCCAGAGAGGAAAGAGGTTAAAGGGAAAGGAAGAATGAATTACATCCTTTCAAACCCCAAATTGTTTCCTTTTCAGACCAGACTGCACCGACCTTCAAACGACAGCAGAGCTTTCGGGAGGGTGCGGGGAGACCGTTTCCCACCCGGACCTCACCAGAAACCCGTGCACCCCCAACCAAATTACTCTGCTTTTCACCAGAAAGGACTCCAACTCCACCACCCAGAGGCCCCCTTCCTGGTGCTGGACTATCACAAAGGCCATAGAGACCATTAATGGCCACCCCCCAACGTGGCAACTACCCACCCCCCGTACACACATTCCTCCTAGTGCTTTAGAAGACACCTCTGGGGTCAATATGATCGTGGCTATGTTTCTCTTTCCTGGCCCAGCAAATGACAGATTGTCTTCACTGCACCGATCAGGAGTTACCCCAACATCCCTAGCAGCTCCCCGCTTTTAGCAACAGCTGCCTCTCCCATTGGAAGCGTTCAATATGAAACTAGATTAAAATGAGGACTTGCCCTCCCATTTTAGCTGTGGAACTCAATAGCACTTTCTGTTTCTGCCTGCAAAACCAAAGCCATGGTAATTTCATAATTTTGAAGTCAGGGAGGGCGTGGGGAGGCTGGCATAGGCATCAGCCTGTGCATAGGCATCACTGTCCCGTTGTGACTCACCGACTGACACTGGTGCCACGGCCTTCTATTTACCAGCCCCTCCATGAGGAGCTCCTGTCCATTCACAGGTGTCTTCACCCAGAAAGAAGAAGCCCCCTATGTCTGAACAGGTCTCTGAGGGACTATCAGATTCCCTCCCTCCCAGATTGACATGCTGGTGGGCAAGTTTGCCCTGCTTATGTAACTCTGGGTTTGATGCTAACTCTAAGGCTGCTGCTGCTTTTTTAAATCCTGAAATTGTTGGGGGGGGGAGCCCTAACCAAACACAACAGTAAACAAGTCTGCCCTGTTTCATGTGGTTACCACCAGACATCTGGAAAGATGGTTTGATCCTGGCAGCTCACATTGTTTTCACGAGCAGCCAAAGAGAATATTTCAAATGTTTGCATTGAGACAAATTGATAGAGAGCCTGCGGTGAGGCCTGCTACAAATGAAAACTGTCTTGTGCTGGGAGGGGGCTCCCCCTTCCCTGTCCTCTCCCTCCCTCTCTCTCTCTTCTCACCCTCTTCTTTCCTCTCTTCTCTCTTCCTTTCTCTCCCGCCTCCCCCCTTTCCTTGTCTACCAGCCTAGCTTGGGGACAGTTGCCAGGGCCCACACACTTGTGCACACCCTCTTTCCTGGCTCGCCAGGGACTGCCTGGCCTCACTCTTTCCCAGACTGGGCAGGGCTGGTGACCAGGAGCTGGTACGAGTACCATCGGAGCCCGTTCCACCAGCCCAGGCTGGCTTTCAAGTCAGGGGAAGCTCACAAGCCAGCAAAGCATTTAAAACCAAAGCTACCTACTAAATAAGAAGAAAAAAAACCTCCACAACAGAACGGCCCAGCACACATTCTTAAGTCTGGGGACACTTACAGAAAGCGTGCACATGAGGGTGAGCATGCAGAAAATATATGGATTTGGAGCATTTTCATTGGAACGTTGGTGAGATGACTTGCCTCGCACTATTCGCACTTGACAATATTTTCAAAGATGAGGAAGTCCTGCTTCCCCCGGGAGGGGAGCGGCGGGGAGAAACGTGTCTTGGCTCGCTCAATGTCAGCCCTTTTGACCCGGTCAAGACTTTCCAGACGCGGGCTTCCCGGGTTCCTTCGGTCCCAGCCCGGGTTGGGGGTGGGAGGACGCGACAACCGGAGCCGGCTCCCGGGGGTGCCTCCGGACCCCGGGGCGGCTGCGTCACTTGAAACTCCGAAAGATGCCAGGCCTGGCAGAGCGTCTCGGGAGGATCCTTCCTCCTCCGTCCTCCTTCCTCCCCCCAGCCCCCCGGGGTCCAGCGCGGCCGCAGCGGGGATCCGAGCTGGCAAAGCGGGAGCGGGAGGGCGGCGGCGG